AACTTAACTTATCAGATCAATAGTGATACAATAATTAAATCTAGCTGTTGCCCCTTATTAAACCTAATATGGCAATTAAACCACGTTGTTTTGAGACAGATTTTGGCAAGAAACTGTTCTGAACACATGCAAGAAATCTGCTGCTTTCGGAACATGATCTCATCTGCTAACTGGAATTTATTTGGGAGTTAAAACCAACATTAATTCCTCGATTTGCAGTAAGTCAGAGCAGTTGTCTGTCTCTGTTTACAGAGTAATTTAGCACACTGTATTACACATTCACCTAAATTTCTGTATTTATGCCACTCTACAGCTGCTACCAGAGGACCTAGACAAGATTCCACTTTCTTAGATAATTTCTGTACCTTTTAGTTCCTCCTTTATGTTAATCCCCAAAGCACAATTAATAACTATTACTCCACTCAATTCTATTTCACTTGTTTTAAAGTTTCTGGGTTAGATTCTAATCTGCAGCTTACTCTTGTCTCTCTGTTGTGCCACATTCTGAATCTCCAATCACCTGGATTTTACACATCCATGTACAGAAGAGTGATAGACCAAAGTGAGTTACAGGCTGCAATCTAAATGGGGGTTTCAGGGTGATTTATCGAGAATAACAGATACCTAGGAATGAGTTAGAATCTGGAATCTAATCAAAAGATTCAAGGCGGTTTTAATCAGGAAAGGTGGTGGCATCATTGCTATGTCACTGTACATTACTATCCCACACTAATGCGCTAGGAACATGGGTTCAAATTCATTCACAGGAGCTGGTAGAATATAAATTCAATTAATAAATCAGATCTAAAGCTAATCTCCGTAACGATGACCATGAAACTATCATCGATTGTTGTAAAATCCCCTCTGGGTCACAAATGTACTTTAGGGAAGGAAATCTGCTGTACTTACCCGGTCCAACCTATATGTGAATCTAGAACATAGAACAGTACAGCACAGTACAGGCCCTTCGCTCCACGATGTTGTGCCGAACTTTTACCCTAAACCTAAGGTCTATCTAACCTCCACTCCTACCTTATGCTATCATCCATATGCCTATCGAATAGCTGCTTAAATGTCCCTAATGAGGCCGACTCCACTACCCTCTCTGGCAATGCATTCCATGCCCCTACCACTCCCTATGTCTACCTCCACTCACTTTAAAACTATGTCCCCTCGTAATAGCTACCTCCACTCAAGGAAAAAGACTCTGGCTATCCACTCTGTCTATACCTCTGATCATTTTTTACACTTCTATCAAGTCACATCTCATCCTTCCTTGTTCTAAAGACGAAAGCCCTAGCTCTCTCAACCTTTCCTCGTAAGACATTCCCTCCATTCCAGGCAACATCCTGGTAAATCTCCTCTGCAACTTTTCCAACACTTCCACATCTTTCCAGTAATGAGGTAACCAGAACTGGACACAATACTCTAGATGTGGCCGAACCAGGCTTTTGTATAACTGGAGCATAACTTCACGGCTCTTGAACTCAATCCCTTGATTAATGAAAGCTAACACACCATATGCCTTCTTAACAACTCTATCCACCTGGGTGGCAGCTTTCAGGGAACTGTGGACATGAACCCCAAGATCCCTCTGCTCCTCCACAATGCCAAGAATCTTTCCGTTAACCCTGTATTCTGCTTTCAAGTTTGTCCTTCCAAAATGAATCACCTCACACTTCTCAGGGTTAAACTCCATCTGCCACTTCTCAGCCCAGCTCTGCATCCTATCAATGTCCCTTTGTAACCTAGAACAACCCTCCGCACTATCCACAACTCGACCCACCTTCGTATTGTCCGCGAACTTACTAATCGACCCCTCCACTCCTTCATCCAAATCATTTACAAAAATCACAAATAGAAGAGGACCCAGAACAGATCCTTGTGGTACACCATCGTGACTGAGCACCATGTTGAATATTTTCCGCCCACTACCACCCTTTGTCTTCTAAGGGTTAGCCAATTCTGAATCCAATCTGCCACATTTCCCTCTATCCCATTCCTCCTTACTTTCTGTATGAGCCTACCATGGAGAACCGTATCAAACGCCTTACTTAAATCCATGTATACCACATCCACTGCTCTACCTTCATCCACGTGTTTGGTCACCTCTTCAAAGAATTCAATAAGGTTTGTGAGGCATGATCTACCCCTCACAAATCCATGCTGACTATCTCGAATCAAACTGTGCCTTTCCAAGTGATCATAAATCCTATCTCTCAGAGCCCTTTCCAATAATTTGCTTGACATAAGGCTAACTGGCCTGTAATTTCCAGGGTTATCCCTATTCCCTTTTTTGGACAAGGGAATGATGTTTGCCTGTCTCCAATCTTCCGGCACTATACCCAAGGACGAAAAGATCTAGACCCACAATGATGCGGTTGATTCTTAACTGCCCTGTGAAATGGCCCAAATGCTGGTTTTGCAACTTGCATAAGAAAACAATATTGATTAACTGGCAAGTTGACTCTAATTGGTTGATTACAAAGGGATCTTTAACAATTGAGCCAATGGGCTGAGGAATTGCAGATGGAGTTTAATGGAGATAAATGCGAAACCTAGGGGTTCAGGTCCTTAGTTCTTTGAAATTTGTGACAGAGATAGACAGGGTGGTTAAGAAAGCATTTAGCATGCTTGCGTTCATTGCTTAGACCATTGAGTATAGAAGTCGGGACGTTATGTTAAGGCTGTACAGGATTTTGGTAGACCTCTTCTGGAGTACTGTGTGCAGTTTTGGTCACCCTGCTATCGGAAGGGTTTTCCAAGATGGCAGTGGCGGCAGGGTAGGGAGTGTTCGGGCTCTGTGCCCATATGCTCCAGCTCATCTTGCCGGCCATCTTCTTGCTTGTTCTTTTGTTTTGTTTTGTTTCCTCATTTCTTCGTCTTTCTTTTGGATCAGAGTTCACCTTTCCTTCTGTTCTGAGGTTGTGGTGGAGGAAGGCGGTTATGAGGTCCTGCTGTGGCAGTGGCACGGTGGATCTGGATGGCCGTCCCTCGCGGTCGTGGTGGCTGTGCCTTCATCGTCGATGGGTCTGGTCCATACCTCCTGGCGGAGGTTTCAGCAGTAACAGCACGGTGGCTCCGGTTCATTCCTGGTGGCTACAGCAGCAATGTGGCAGCTTTGGGCAGCGACTGAAGAAACGAAGGCTTCGGCATTGGTCCCTTCTCACTATGGCAGTGATACAGTGGCTTCGGTGTAGGCTTTGGCAGTGGCAGTGTGGTGGATCCGATGCAGAAATCCTCGCTTTGGCAGCTTCAGGGCAGCTTCTGCAGCGGCATCCTGTAGCCACTCCACAAACCCAGGAGCAACAGAGAGAACAAAAGATGAACTTTGTCCTAACTCTGTCTCCATTATTTCTTTTTATAATTTCTGTAATTAAAATGGCACCAAATTGTGTCAACTTACACACATCTAACTGTATTTTCATTAATGCAAGTGACAATAAATTGCTATTTTATTCTATTACTAAATTGGAGACAGTTCAAAAAGATTTACCAGCATGTTACCAGAACTGGAGGGTTTTATAAGGAGAGGCTGGATAGGATGGAACTTTTTCCACTGGTGCGTACAAGGTTTAGGGATGATCTTGTAGGGGTTTATAAAATTATAAGTGGCATAGATAAGGTGAATGACAAGGGTCTTTTCCCTAGGGTGGGGAAGTTCAAAACTAAGGGGCATATTTCTAAGGTGAGAGGAGAAAGATTTAAAAGGGACCTGAGTGGCAACCTTTTTTTACACAGACGGTGGTTTGTATGCAGAATGAACTGCCAGAGGAAGTGGTGGATACAGTGACAGTTACAACGTTTGAAAGACATTTGGTTAGGTACATGGATAGGGAAGGTTTAGAGGGATATGAGCCAAATGCAGGCAATTGGATTAGTTTAGTTTGGGAAACTTGATCGGCATGGACAGGTTGGGCCGAATGGTCTGTTTCCGTGCTGTGTGACACTATGACTCTACGACCCAACAAATCAGCACCTTTTCCTCGAGCATTATAAATTGTTGCTCCCTTCAAAATGTGACATTCTTGACATTCTTTCCTCTATCCTGATGAGTGCAAGACAAAAACCTTCAAAAGGATGTCTCATTTTATAAAAACAACAAAAACATTCACAACTCTGCAACAATTCCTGAAGGCAATAAAAGGAAAGTAGCTGAATGGCTCTTTAAAAAGTACTTTCCACATTGACAACATTCACATTATATACATTTGAGCAGGGTGTTTAATGTTCTCTCATTCCAGCTCACCCTCAAACTTCTTCTTCCCTCTCCCCTGGACATACTCCACTCTGCAACCCCTCTATGACGTCCCACCTCCCCCCACTCCCACCACCATTCACCCACCCCTATTTAAACACCCTCCCCCACCCCCATCCCCACCCTCACCCCCATTCAACCACCCTCCCCCCACTCCCAACGCCA